TGGGATGCCCTGGCATTTGCGCTACCTGGGCCAGCCAGAAATAGGCGACAAGAACCGCCACGCCCTGGTGCGCAACTGCGTAGACATCGCTACTTCGGACAACCTGACAGACTTCCTGGTGGAGATGGGCTTCCGCATGGACCACGAGTTTGTGGCCAAAGGGCACGTGTTCCGCAAGGGCATCATGAAGATCGTGGTGTACAAGATCTTCCGCATCCTGATGCCGGGCAACACGGAGAGCATTGAGCCGCTCTCCCTCTCCTACCTGGTGGAGCTCAACGTGGTGGCGCCAGCAGGACAGGACGTCGTTTCTGATGACATGAGGAACTTTGCTGAGCAACTGAAGCCTCTAGTGCACCTGGAAAAAATTGACCCCAAAAGGCTAATGTGATTGAAAAGCTGGGCAGTTAAGGCATTGGTTTTGTTAGTGTTCCTGAAGAGGGCGTTTTTCTAAAATGCCTTTCGTGGGCAAATCAAAACAGGGAGAGGGGAATAAAGGACTGCATATCAATGTTTTGTCAATTACTGAATGTTTTTCCCTTCACTCGTGAATGTGAACAAAAGCGGACACTTCTTTAAATTAATGCCATTCAAAACATCAATAAATGCTAATAGTGGTAGTTTTCCTTCTCCTGTTGGGGAGATACCTCTTAGGCAATATGCTTTTTAACACTCCAAAAACATCGGACTTACTGGAATTCATCCTTCCTTGTTTTTTTTTTTTTTTTAAAAGCACCATTCATGTGTACTACCCAGTCATCCTTTTTTCTTCTACATGAAGTTAATATCCTTTAATGCAGGAGGTGTGGTTTAACACAAGCATAAACCCAGGAACTACACAGTATAAAAGAGCAAGCATACACCTGTTTACAACAGAATACTAAAGTAATAGTATATGTAACAGGAACACCTAGGACACAAGATAGTGTAGTGAAACTGTTTCTGATATAACCAAAGTTAGAATTGGAAAACAATTTAGCAATATTACAATTGCAAGAAGTTTTCAAATCTTGTGATGCTGTTCTGTCTTTTTCACTAAAGTTGGGTACAGCAATCTTAGTTAATGAGAAAGCAGTAAATTACATGGGTTTTTTTATTATTAGACTTCTCACACTTAACAGCAATATTGAAAATTGACACATTAAACAATTAAGAGCATCACAGAGCTGCAATTGAACTAGTGATGATTTTGTTTGGCACCTCTCTTCATAGTAGGATGGTTAGTTACCCTCCCTACACTTCAATGATATTTGAATTAGGTTTGAGAGTTTTCAAATACAGTTCAAACAAAAAAAGGTTGGCAAAAACAACAAAGATAAAAAAGCTTATTTCGATTTCTCAAGTTTTTTACAGAAGGCAACCGTTTTACCCATTACTAAAATGCACCAACCTCTGTCAGAGACATTGCCTCCCTTTAGCACCACACAACTCTATATGTAACAAAGGCAAAGACCACTCCCACAAAAAGCTTCAGAAAAAGCCTTTTAAGTTAACAGCTGCATTTTCAATGCTGGAGTTTGGACAAGGTAAGCCATGACAACTGGATTAGTGCTCGCCGTGCGCAGTGTCTCGACTGTTCCACTGAGGCAGGCTCTACATAAGGGGCATGGGGACAACCGAATACTTGAACACCAGCTGGAGAACGCCATTACCTTGACTGCATAGCAGCGATTTTCCAGCAGGGTACAGGCCACGAGGTGACCTGTGTGACTGCTCAGTACCTAGACTTGAAATATTTTCTGGAGGGTATGGACACACCTACAATTCTTTTGTTCGTACTCAGGCATGACTCGCCCTCATCTCATCAGACAGCACTGAGTCTGGAATTCCATTCTGAGTCTGGAATTCTTTAGGATACTGTTACAGAGGGTAACTTCCCAGGGGGTCAGGGGTAGGTCCCAGAGCTCTGCCTGTACCCAGGAGCTAAACTTGCTGGGTTGCTCCGTGATTCAGTTGCAGTCCCACCCTGGCAGGTGGGAATCCTCAGGGTTGTTGTCATATCCTGCCACTGTAACACTGGTTAGGAATCGCTTGCCACAGACTTCCATGGCTTGTCTCTCGTGACACTGAATTTTGAAAGTCCAATGGATCAGAAAAGTTGAACATTGTATGCTAGCTTTTCCAAGGGTACATAGTTTTAAGTACAAAGACACACAGAAAACAGTAAGTACGGAGGTCCTTCCCATTGCATCTGAAAGGAACTCACTTGGTAATTTACCTTCCAAGCTTCTTTCTAAGTGGAGGGGCAAACAAGTCACAGAAGGTTGATGTTAGTGTAATGGTGATAGAGACGAAAATCCCACATGGAATTTCAGGCAGACCAGCTCAAGCAAAAGGAGACTGAATGGAAAGTTCCCAATTAAACTGAAGTTTTTACACTTTAGATGACAATAGGTCTGACTTGGTCTAAGTTCTCAAAAATAAAAATAATCATTTAAAATAGTTCTTTTTAAGGAGAATTAATTTAAATCTTAAAAATCACAGCAATCCACATTACCAGCCTTCCTTATTCTAGCTGCAGTGCATGCATAGAGAAGATAGATGTGCAGAGGAAAAAGGCTTACTACATCAGTGGTTACAGCTGAAGAAAAATGGACACTTCCAGGCACCTAACAGCTCAAGAAGTGTATCCCTTTCTTTTATCTAATGAAATACACTTTTCTCCTCCTATGAAACTTAGCTGTTATAGCTGGAGACTAAAGATAATAGCAATACTATCAGTAATACACACTGGTAAATTGCATGGCATAACCCCAACTAATTATCATTCATTATCTAGGGTCAAATTATATTTAGTTATATATGTATTGTAGGTTTCTACAACGTTACTGATTACCATATAAAATGTAGAAATCCCTGCGTAACAAATAAAGGTAGGATTGTTATTGATCCATTAGGCACCAGCTACTTCTGCTTATTAAGAAAGCTTACTCTACAGAAGCTCATCTTAGTTCTTAAAAATTCTTCATACTTTAGAAAAAGCCACAACTTTATCCTCTGGCACTCCTCAGTCCTGATCTCTATTCTTCCCGTGGAAACTTCCATAATGATGTTAATTCTGTACAAAGGAAGACAAGAGCTGAAATGCTTTGGAAGTGCTCAAGACTACACTGTACAGGAACATCTTTTAACATGCCTCTGATATGCTAGCACAAAATGAGCTTTTCAATATATAAACTAATGTGACATTCGAATTTTCATCTCAGTAACTTCAAGTAGTACAAGCAAACTGCTTTCCTTTTTTTCCCCCATACATTATCATATTGTATATAGCTTTATACATAATCTAAAAGTTGGTTAAAAGGTGAAATGTTTTAAATAAGTTTCTCCAAAGCACTGAAAGTTAAAAATAACTACAAACCAGGATTTTTCTTCATAATTTTTAATACTTTTCACTTTTAAATACTGGTTTTAAATTTGTGATTGTAACATGGAAGAGCCAACTTCTTTTAATTTTTAAAACTTATCATTAGGATCATAAAGCTATTATAGAACAAACAGTTACACTCTACACACTCAAGGTACTCAAAAATATGATTCATGTTTTAAGTCTGTAGATGAACAGTGGCCATTCAAATACAGCGTTATCTGTACAACTTGACAAAAATACAGGTGGACAATCTGATTAGTTTAAAGAGAATCTGCGCAACTTCAGATAAGCCAGCTCAGCCCAATTAAGTAAAAGGTCATTTTTTTTTTTTTCCAAAAAGTGCATCACATTTTTCACAGGTAAATTTGTCAAAATAAGATGTTCAGGTTCTCAGACAGGATAAGAACGACCATCTCATCCTCATTCCCAATACAAGTTCTAGCAAGTCATTTCCTTCAGATCTAGTTTGGCAACATTCAAATTCTCCAGTCGGACACAGATATTCAGAGAACGGTATCTGATGGAGAAGACTGCTGCATTCTCAGCCCTTCAGATTGGTTCAGCTTTTAAAAATGTGTATTCTAGAGTCAGGAGCTGCTTCTGCAAAGACCACCACAGCTGTGTAAATACTACCGATCCATTATCAGGAAAAAGTGAACTCGGAGCACACAGTCACACAGGAGTGACTGAAAAGATGGATGGGCTCAAGAGACAGGGCAAATTTTACAAAACTAAAAAAGTAAGATCTCTTCCAGAAGAAAGGATCTAATGACTACTTGCACATAGACAATCTGAGAGGCCTACAGAGAACTGCCTTTTTTCATTTGTTTTTAAAGAGATCAATTACTACTGATTTCTCAATCTTGCAGTTCCTTCCACATTCTTTAAGAAGCCTCTTACAACTTTGATTGGGCAGGGCTAGCTGTAGTGAAGTACCAGTGCCTTTATCTAAAAGTAAAACGTATTCTTTACAAATAGTATCTGTAGTGTAATTTTATTTACAGAATAAATTGCAAAAGTACATCACATTTAGTGCAAATGCAACTAATGATACCAGTTTATATACTGCTTTGTAAACTTTCCATACCTTTGTAAAATAAAGCTATCCAATTAAATTAATAAACTCGCCTGTGTTCCAACAATTACCAGAAACAGCAAATAAGGAGTTAAACTCTTTGTATTTTGGATTTTTTTTTAAAGTTCCCATCAGTGGCTATGGTGGAATGAACCATTGCTTAGTTGATTGTAAAAAGATTAAGTACATTTGAGGTATAAGATTTTTTTTTTTTAACATCGCTATATAAAATGCTCACTGGTGATACAGTAAACATGTACAAATTTTCATCTTATTTGCCTTACTAGCATTACCATATAGGCACTTTTCTACATATTCAAATTAACAGAATAATTCTGTAATAAGGCATATTCCATGCACACCATTAAAGAAAGGCAAATAAAAAGGGAAGAGTTATGGAGCATGAAATCTGCATGCATGTGTAATCGTGTGTTATGAACAATTTCATCTCTACAGAGACAATGAACAGATAAAAGTTTTTCAACACTGTGCAGATCACATTTAATCATTTACCAAATCTTCATGAAGTTACTATATTATATTTATTTTCAGGCACCTACTATACTATATCAAATAAGACCTTCAACTTTCTTCTGAAAAAAATATATCTGAAACTTTTTTCTCGAGATACACAGGTTAGTGAAACACGGAGCAGTCTCTGAAGAGTGTTCATCTACAGGACATGGATAAGAGATCCAAAGTCAGTACTGGTCTGCCACAGTCCTCTCCTAATAAGCATCTCCAGAATCAAAGGCAGGCAAATATCTGACATTCTCACAGCAACTAAAGGGAACTTTCCAATAGGAGCTACACATCCTTATAGCTCTGATGGGTTTTTGACCAAGAGGCAAGTAATTTTCTACACGAACCTCATAGCATGGCTTTATTAAGATGAGGAAAACACATGCAGGATCTAAAAATAATGTACTCATCCTCATTCTAGACTGGGAATGTTGTCTTAGGTAGTCCAAATTACTTCAATAAATATTATAATGTACCTTCTCACAGCTTCAGGAAAGCCCTGGGTATCATGCAAAAAAGCAGTCCACGTATAGCAGGGACAGA